TACCCCGCTAGGCACGCATAGGACCCAGAGACATGACGGGGAGGACTTTGAAGAATGTGTCACGATCCTCGCACGCGAATTGAGAACACAGGCGCGAAAAACTCTCGAGGCACTCTGGATTAATTCCAGAAATCCGAAAATGAACCGCAGGGAAGAATGCGTCATTATCACGCGTGATGTAGGGCAGTATATAAAACTGCTTTTCTGATGTGAGTGGCACATTATACTTCCACGTGATTTCTGTGCGGTTGGTCTCTACGTGACATACTTAGTGGAGACCTCATAGAAAGCGGTGAGTGTGCAAAGCTGTGTTCAAAGTGATTGAAATCTTGGTTTGGGGTTTCTTTGTTTGGTTATGGAGGCGTCTGGCCGAGTGAGTTGCTATCAACTTGACCTTTCCAGGCTCTGAAGAAGGCGAAATTCGCCGAAACGTCAGCTTAATCGTGAACAAAGAATAATAACACCTCGCGTTTGCTCAACAAAAATACGAATAAAAGCACTTAATTTGTTCGACTTGCTGTTCTGCATTTCTCTTTCAGGAAAATTTTGGGATTTGCGTGAGTCCGTCGCACTTCTCTCGGGAAACAGGTGTTTTGTTGTATGAAGTAAAAGCAGAACATGCTTCGTTACGATGATCTCTCTACCACTTACTAAATCTAAACGGGACTACTTTGTCGGCACTTTTCAGCTTTCAGCCCTTTAGAATAACAATTGAGTGTTTTTGAAACCGACCGTCATTTACCCTCGGCGCTAGTAATCGAAGAAGATAACGAATGAGAGTTAAAGTATAAATAGCAAATTTCTCCTGCAATTTCTTATGCAAATCTTAGAGGGATTGCTTCAATTAACGACTTCACATCGTAGATGTTAACTGCTAGAAGGCATCTTCGACCCTTTCCATCGAAAAAGACTCAAACCTCCGGTAAGAAAGGAAAGCGTTCTGACCATTAGCGTACTGAGCATTCAGCTTGCTTCCTCCCTGACTGCTTGCTTCAATGAAGTTTAGACTTTGAATTGCAGCTCTACTTCCAATTCGACTCCCATGGCTAAATGTTAGGAATTTCATGATTTGAGAGCATTAGTTCAACCATTCTTGAGTTACTGTAAAATAAGTGCTAGAAAAGTTATAACATGGCAAATAACCAGGTTAAAACTTTGGAATAGACTATAACAAATGTATATAACGGATAATAGGATAAAGCTGTCGGCGCTGATCAAACCCTGAGGGACACACCATGCATTCGACTTCATTAAGCATCGTTGGAGGTGATTGAATGCATTATCTGGCCTTTAAAATAACTCGCAGTAGCTTACCGATGTATTAATTAATCCAGTGCTTCTATCCTCCTAGAAAAGTCTGGTACCAATTCGCCGACCTCCGAGGAATGGAAGACTTGGTGAGCCATGGGCGTTAGGATCGACCGCATGTGGTGTAGAGCGCCTCAGACCACTGCGTCGCACGCACCTTTAGCGAAAATATATGCAAAACAAAATGTTCAATATAAAATTTATTTATTGATGTCATAAGAAGGACATGACCACTACTTTTTACCAGCATAATACTTCGGTTCAACTGAATCACTGTGCATAACGCGACAATTCTCTGAACGACATGAGTAAAAGGGAATAGCCAGAGATGATTCTGTGAAGTACAGAATATGTCCAAGTCCAAAACAACGACAAGAAATGGTCATGAAAAAGCAATAAGGTAAATAGAATAAACTGCAGAGTAATGCACATGAAACACTTTGTATGGAAATTGTTCTAGAGTTTTATTTCAGTCAGAGAAGGTCGGAGTAGTCTTGAATATCACAAAAACGGCCACGTGAGTCACCTCGTAGCAACTAACCGTACACTTCAATCATTAAGTCAAAAAAACATGGACATCATGGAAATCCACTGCTGAGTTGGATGCTTCAGTGCCATTTTAAGTTACCGTTTCTCACCGAAAGTTGTTAATATTATTTCTAAATAAAAAAAGAAATTTATACATTAGAAAAGGTAAAAATCCACTGAGAGCAGCACCTTAGTCTGTCTCATCTTAGGCTATCAAATGCTGATTTTCAAGAGTGCAACGATGCTTTACATTGTAGAGCTGATCTTTACGTCATAATCTGCTAAAAGAATGTATGATTATGTAGAAAATCAAGCCTCGGAACTAAAGCTGATAAGTGCCTTTCCAAAAAAATACCAATGTAAGTTGATTTCACGAATGGTGCACTTATTCTTAAAAATCTATGCTGACGTATAGAAAATCAACACAGCATTTCGGTTCACATAGTGTCGATTATGTAGATAGGGGTGGTCAAATAGAACGAAAAATCCTTTGTTGAATCGTTGGACGAATTGGTCTCGTAAGCGAAAAACTGGGTGAAACTGCGAGTCATCACGAGGACAAACGCAGTGAGTAGCACGACGGCGCAGAACATCTTGCTTATATTCACCAACGTGTTATTGTTGTAGAAGTCCTTCTGTGGTTTTGACGTGTCCAATGGCGTAGAGCCAAAAGCCAACCTAAAATTTACAAATGTTCAGACCAAACTCGTTACTTCTGTGGACTTCTGGCCAGAGATGCATAATCTCGGCAGCAAGAATTTCAATTGCAGAACAGTGAAAGAGGGAATTTTTGTGTTGTCGTTACACATGCCTCTCCTACCGATAGTTAGTCTTCTTTATGGTTTTAGATCTCTTTTAAGCTTGGCGCGATCTTTCTTAACAGGGCACGGTTAGTTCTCTATCACTTCGGATGATATTAGTTTATTTGTCTTCTAACTCTGCATCACTATCACTAAGCAAAATTTTTAGCCTTTGTAAGAAGACCAGCATGAGAATGTAATTTTTATCAGGTAAACATTGTTGGACCTCCCAACGGCTTACCGCCTCATCGTGGCTGGGAGGTGCTCCTGGATGTCGACCTGCGATGTACTTCGGGGTTCATTACCATGGCAGGATCTCCCAAGCTGTGAAGGAGTCCGGCTTTTCCATCAGGAAGCCTAGCTAAGATTAAACTAGTACCAGGATCTACCACCGTACTGGCATCAAACTATTCACATCGTGGCAAATCTCCCTCTAATCCACAAGGGCTGCGACTGCCTGTGGTGGTGACGACCGAGAGCAGGCTTTGGCCAGACTGACCTTGGTATTCGGGACGATGCCTTAACTAGAAAATCTCCGAAAAATAGAGATCATGCTGGGGCCGGCACAACCAGTGAGGATGGGCCGTTCAAGTGTGAAGTAAGTTAGTAAGTTAACATTATTGGAAGCGTCAAATTTGACGGATTAAATTCACCAGCCGATTTTTCCTGACTGTCTTCCCAAACTTCAAGGTCCAACTTTCCGCTAGACATGTAAGGTCTTTAGAAGAGAAAACATTGATTCTTGAATAAAAATCCACTAAAAAGAATAGCATTGTTGAAACATCCTCAGAGTCTGATCTCTGATGATCTCTGTTGTCGTGACACCGAAACTCGTACTCGCCGAAAACCGAAGCTTGTTACGTGGAGATTTCCGATAAATGGCAAAAATGTTATCGCTCTCACCTTCGAGTCGAGGACTGTTGATAGACGGGAATCTGAAATAAGAAACGATTAACACTCCGGATGATTCTAGAAAGTTCGTTGTTTTTCTCTACTCGTAGATCAAACTTGATGGTAGCCATTAGGATTCCTGAAAGAGCTCACAGATTTCTGAAGATTGAGATTAGACCCATTTCAAATATAACTCTTTTCTACATGCAATTTTATTATCAGAGACTAAAAACAACATATTCCAATTTCCTGAAGAGGATGAACGATGCTTTGAAATACTTGTGCTTGAGACGTATTATGTACAGCATGCAGCGCTAGTAGTCAGCTGTTTAGCGTTATGTCCTTTATACCATGACATAACCCTACTGGTAACGAAAGGATATGAAGGGTTAAACATCAAATTTCAAAAAACAAGACGGTTAAACAGAACTTCAGGAAGCACATTAAATGGCGAGCATACCTTCTTGGCAAATCGAAGACGCGATTTGAAGCATTTCATCATCCAGCCATAGGTCTTTTTGTTGTGGGAATACAAACTCTCTAAATGACGTTGGAAAAAGCTCACACTCGTCAACTCCGCGTGTGCTCTGTCGCCGCTCTCCAAATGGGGCAAGCCGGATTCCGGTGAATGTTGCCGGTCGAACTGCCTTGTCACGATCCCAAGAACCTAACGAAATGTTCGTAACTCGTACTTTAGAACTTCGTGGTGAACTTGTGAAGATAAAATTACTTTGAAAAGTGTTTTTATTTAAGTGGAAATGAAAAGGATTGGTCGAACAATGACTAAATATAATTTTCTCCAGGTACTATGGTAGAACAGCCGTGGATCTTATGTCATTCTGCAACCTTGAGAACGAGAAAAACAGTGCATTGAAGCCTACTGTTACAGTAGCAGTCTATGGGATTGACAACTTCACCAAAAATGGCAGGTTATGCGCCAAAAATCGAGTCAGCTTATCCCTTTTAGGAAACACTAATTACGTTAAAGTATATGACACATTCAATTGGAAGGAGACAGCAAAAATTACTAGTTTTAATGCAATGTTAACCTTTTATCTACCGCCTATTAGAATTTTTCACGGAAGGGTATTATGTGTCACTCAACCACAATGATGCTGAGATATTACCCTTTTCAGGGGCTAACGCGTTCACCACCACACCGCGTGGGTCATTCGTTTCGCCTCTCTCTCAGATATCTAGTGTTAAGATAAATGCTACACCCCTTGATGCTAAATTGACAATTAACGAGCGCTACTCGTAACACCATGTGACGCTTACTATAATATGCTCAGTGCAATTCGTCAAAAATTTCCGAAAATGCGGTGATAAAGGAAAATTCTACTTTTTACAGTCAGGAATGAAAAGAGAGCGATTGGTTATGACTTTATTTGACATTTTTCATTCTTCAATTAACTTGTAGTTATTAAGCAACGTTTCCGGCGAAATTAGAAGTTGAGATGGAACATTATTTCCTAGAGATATCAGTATTACTGAAGCGTGCTGGGATTTCATGCGATTCGTGAAGATACACTGGCATAACTATGGAAACCAATTTATCACCATCGTCAGGTGATCAATAAAGGGCCGCAAATGCTACAAATGACCTCTACGCCCCAAAATCATCACATTCCATCTGGTGGAAGTTCATCTAAGGCAATATGAAATCGCACCCAATGCCATCATTTTAGGTATTTGTCAAAATATTAGTAACATTGCAAAGGTCGAGAATATTCGAAATAGGATGAAATAAACTCAGGTCTAGCACACGCCACCATCTGGTACTTTTACACCAACTGTGAAAGACATTGTTTTCCCTTCATAAAATTGGATTTTCAGGTTGCATTGATATGGCTTCAGGCGCAAGGCCGCATTTCACTCGATTGTATTCATACTACATTCTTCTGCGTGCTGTTTAAGCAAGCTATTTATGAACTCCGAAGGTAAAACCTAGTAAAGTGACAGGTCTGAATGTCTCAAAAATACACCCGAAGTCCACTTGGCATATTAAGAACTGCTTAAGGCCGAACTGCTTAAGGCCTTATAGTTAATAAACTGGTCGATAGAAAAAAACAAAAGTTAGCAGGAAATGTGGTTCACTGTAGTGCAGAAACAGTACCTTTGTGACTATCGCAATGACACAAGCGATTAGGGTTTTAGAAGTGGGCGGATCACAGTCGAGGGCTAACGGTGTCACCTTATTCATGTCTTAAAATGTTCTGAACATAGAATCCATAGAAACAATTGCAAACATAGCATTAAAGCAAACATGCATGAAATTTGACATGTTACTTTTTCTCCACAGTTATGCAGATTACAGTTATACCTAAACTCTATACTAACTCTGAACGTTTACCGAATCATCGATGAAGATGAGATAATTCGATAGCGATGTACACGAAGCACTCACACAGTTGTTATTCGCTTTCTTCACAGAATTAATAGCGTGAAGTGGTATGAATGAAAGAATATCCTAGGAACAGATATCGATGAGAAAAAGCGGTACTGGAAATGAGTGGACGGGCACATTAAAGACTGGGGTGGAGAAACTTCCGGAGCGAATCATCCTAAGATTTTCGAGAAACACGCGATTTGAATCGACGCAAGAGAACACCTCTATAGCCGCAGCAGTTGCCCTTGAAGTACTATTTTGTTGTGCGGTTCCTCTCCCTCCAAAACCCACACAACCCACGAGCACGCTATCGCATGTAGACACACAATTTGTACTAGCATCGTGCGGCCACGAAATCACAACATCTCTCGGATTTACATAAATAACTCGATTATTTTTTAAATACAATTTTTAATGAATTTTCAATGTAAAGCACTTTTAGAGTGTCCAATACACAATCCTGAGCACTTTTTGAAAAACCGCATGTATTTCACCAGTAAGGTAGTGTAGTGCAGTTCGTGGAATTGCTTCATGATGGAAGTGGTCGTTAGTTCGAATCCACTCCTCGTAACTAAACAAGCACTAATCTTTCAAAAGTAGGAGGACTGGTATTGTAATTGTTTTGAAGGGCAGTAGTTCTGATTTGATACATCCTCATTCCTTCGCAACTCATGATGCCGACCAAATATGCATTCAGTTACCGCCGTTGTGCCTAAGACGTACATTCCGGCGCCCAGTCTAGTGAATTGAAACTAACTCATACTTGCGGACATGCCACACGTATGCATCATAAATATCTCCCTCATTAGTAACCTTTTTGTGCTACTCTGCCGGTATAAAACACATGAGGCATCCAGATATAACCCTTGAAAACCGTGCCCATCATGGACGACGAGCATTGTACACAATCGCACTTGCTGGCTGAAGTAAAGTGCAATCGTATGCATGTTTGTTTTTATGGTTTACTCCGCCGCATAGAGCTTTCTTGTCACACTTCTGCATTCGACCGACAAGTTATCGAATGCAAATTAATGCTGCAGGAGGCGGAACAGAAAAAATATTTATCGCACTTAGTTATCCAGAAAAACTTTTCTGGACGAATTTATTTCTTAGGCATACTGTACCCTACACACTGAAACACGGCATTTAGAAACACTTAGCCTGGACAACCATCGAAGATAGTTTTATAGATGTAGCACAGGTAAAGATGCACTGCGGACCTCAATATGATTAATGGCTACGTCTAATAAAAGATGGGTGTTATCAATGTGATTTCGCTTGGCGGATTTTTGAAAAAGTGCTTGATTCTCCTATTCTCTCAACCCCTAACTTTGTCTTAAGGACTTCTTTTTAGATTCGATAGCTCACAGTTAAAGTGCGTCTGACAGGGTGAGGGCGAACAAGCCAGAACTTTAGCTTCGAAAAAGTTTTTATATTAGCCTAATAAGGGTGCATGTGGTCTCCAGTAGTCGGAGGCGCCCTGCAAAACGCATGGAATCGGTCCTTGCGCCCTTGGCCCACCAAGCCTTCCTTCCTTCCTGGGTCGGTAAATTGGTATCAGACTTGTCTCGGAGGATAGCAGCACTACCTCGACACATCGGTGGGCTACTGCGAGTCATGTATAGGCCAGATGTGCATTCAATCACCTCCAAAGAATGCTTAATGAAGTCGAATGCATGGCGCATCCCTCAGGGATTGATAAACCCCGAGAACACTATCCTTTATCCTCTATCTCTCAGTTTTCATTATTTACCATGATTTTTCATGATTACAGCTCACTTTTTAAAATGGGCAACTATCAACCTAACAATTTATATACAGATGTTATACTTTGTATTCGCTATTGATATTCGCTACATGCAAGGTGTAGTTCTCACAAACAATTTACATCAGTTACTGAAGCAGTCTAAACAGAAGTCTTTCCCACATTACCGAGATCTCGTTTAGCTCGGTCTCGAGTGCTTTATAGTATATTTGAAACTGTAATCTATTGTTATCCTCTTGTAAAACCACCACAGCACCTCCATTTTCTTGACTATCGAATGGGTTACTCTAGGATATAGTCAAATACTGCCGGTTAAC